TATAGAGAAAGAGTGAAGAAAGGGAACTGGATGAAAATTGTTTTAAAAGGGAGTTGTGGGAATATATTTTCCTGCATATGAAGATAAATTACTATTGTGCAAAATTTTCTTTTAAATTTAAAAATGCTTTGAAGCTAGCTTTTCATGTATATCTATAAATTTAGATGTATTCTCTTTGTTTTTATGCATCTCTGAATTGATCTGCCTTGGGCCCAGGATATACTGAATTGCTTGAGTTATTACTTGTCCAACAAGCTTCATCTTAAATTTGGTATTCAAGCTATTTTTTTGCCTTCTAGAGAAACATTTGTTATTTTTCTTCACATCTTCCCTATGAATGAAAACAAACATTTGAACTTAAAATTTCTTCCCAATGGTAAGGCTCTTTAAGAAATAGCACTATTATAACATTGTATATATATTAGCACATACACAACATATTCACAAATATATGTAATTTTTAAAACTCACTGTTATAAACAAAACCTGAAATACCATGTCCCTTTAGATTTTATTTGGAATTATTAACTATAGATCTTCTCAATCATGGGCTAGTCTCTGAATGTTGGATGCTCCTTGCAGAGCAGGGTGGAAAACTCCTCTAAGTGTCACTGCTCTTGTTATTGATGTTAGTGGCAGAGCCTTCTAATTCCAACCCCTGCTGAGTCTTTAGAAACCCAGTAGATTGTTAACATGGTTAGCAGGAGTTCATGAACTCTGCTCTGTAGAAATGCAAAATTGTAGAACTTTGATATGGAATTGGCATTAAAATATTTCACATTAAGGCTATTTTAATAGTTTTTAAAGGACAAACTTATAAAAGCTTGTTGTATTTTAGTTAGTTGCTACTGTATAAATATTGCATTTTCAAACATAATATTTTTGAAAATTAGTAGTAAATTTTTTTGTGTGTGTGGCAATATGCTTCCAATTCCTCCCAGCCATTTAAAAACAAATAACAAATGTTTTGCTATATACTAATGGAAGCAATTTAGAAATATTTTGTTATTTACATAAAGACAGTGTATGGTGGCAGTGTTGTGAAAAATCAGTCATTTGGAAATGATTAGAGCCTGTAGTTAAAGAGTGTATTTATTACTCACATAGAATTAAGGAAATGTGTACAGGAACAATAGTTAGGTTAGATTCAGAGTTAAAAATACCCAGTTGCATATGTTGTGGTTATAAATTAAAAATTTTTTTTAGGGGATATTTGGGTATAGAGGCTAGAAAAATTTCCTAGTGGCCATTTCAGCTTTTCTTCGCTTGCTGGAAATGAACTCAGTTAAAATAGGAAAAGGGAAGGAGAAAGAGGCTCAGAGATGGGTAGGGTGACTGGTTAAAGAAACACTAAGGTAAGAGTTTTAAAAATTTTTAGTTCCAATTTCTCAAATAGCATTTACCTGTAGTTACTTTATTTGGTTGCTTTTTAAGTACATGTTAAAAAATGGTGTTGTGGAAAAATTCTCTGTTCACTCTCCAACTTTGTGACAAGATCCCTTTTTCTGTAGGGGAAATCATACTGAATCACCAAAGGAGTGATCATCCCTTGCTTTCTCCCTCTCTGCCCTGTGTCCTTCCAAGCTCTCTTTTAAACTAAGGGAACATATTCTAATCTTATTCTGGCTATGAACTCATTTATGTACAAGGCAAGACTTCATGGACCTGAATAGCTCTCTTTGGGCAAAGGCAGCATTTTGGGGAGAGTGCTGAGGTTTTTGTGTGGAGAGCTGATTTTTTTCCATAACAATTAGCAGTTATTGAACATTTGGTGAACAGCTGGGGACACCAAAAAGACTCAGAGCTGATGCTTGTCTTTTAAGGGCTCACAATCTCAATCTCATTTGTTCAGGGAGTCAAATACATAAACCGGTATTTGCAGTAAATATTTCAAAGTACCTCCGGGGCTGGAGATTTGGCTCAGTGGTTCTGCTGCCTGCTTGGCAAGCGCCAGGACCTGAGTTCAATCCCTGGTACAAAAAAAAAAAAAAAAAATTCCAAATGGGGATAAAGAGCCAGGATCCCACACATAGAAATAAGTAATGTATTGGGCAATGATGGAAAGCTTTACATAGGGGAGACAGTTGAACTTATCTTAAAGAGTGTGAAGGAGTCCACCAGACAAGAAAAAGCATTTCATATGCAGTGAATGGAACAAAAGGAAGGGAGTCTTAAAGGATCATGCAGTGTCTGGGGACTGTAGATGCACTCTAGAGTCTGAAGTAAGGTTTTTTGGGTGCAGAGGAGAGAATTGGAAGAGATAGGGATGCTAAGGAAGATTAAAGCAAGGTTATAAAGAACATTATTTGAATTTTTATTTTTACTTTGAGAAGCAGAAGGGATCTATCAGAAGTTATTAAATTTATTAAAAGAGAAAATACTGGATTTGTGTTTGAGAAAGATCATTTTGATACAAGAATTGGCCAGAAAAGAGGTCAGAAACAGAGAATTTAGTAATCTATATAAATGATGAGTGGAATTAAAAGAAGAGCACAGATTAGACAGAGATACAGGAAGTAGAATTAGTAGTACTTGGTGATAGCATGTATTTGGAAATTGAAGAAATAAGGAAGAATGATTTCAGAGCTGCTTTTACTTGGGAACTGATAGGTAGATTATAGATGATTGGGAAAAGTTTAGGAGGAGTGGTGGCAATTTTGATGTTAGACATGGTCACCAATCAGCTGGTACCAGCCAGAATGGCTTGTGAGTTTTAGAGCTATAATAGGTTTAAAAAGTGTATTTGGTATTTACACATGTGTGACTTATTTATACCAAATAGTTTCTGTGGTGTGACTAAACTGTAATAGTACTTAAGATCCTAATGAGATAACTGACATTGTGAAATGGGAAGAAAAGGGCTAAAGGTGTAGGGAAAGTGGGAAGGGTAGGGGAAAGGTAATAAGGGAAAAGAAAAAAATGTGAGAAAATGAAAAGATGGAAATAAAGTGTTTGTAAATGGGGAGGGGAGGAGAGGGTGAAGGGAGGGCAGAGACAAGGGGGAAAAATGAGAACCAAGACCTGTCATGAAAAGGTACAGGATCCCAATTATGATTGTAACTGTACTGTATTCCTAAAATGTACAAATAAACAATAAAAAAAAAGTGTATTTGGGAGAGGTCATTATTTAAGGGGTAGGAGAAGCCTCTAGAGATAAAATTGCTTTGAATAGAGCTTTTGGAGTGGAAAAAAAAAAAAAACCCTCCAAGGAGTGAACCCTGGGGCAGTTAGGGTACAGGAAAAGGATGACTACAATAGGGGTGTGTCCAAAAACCCCTGGGGCCAAGAGTTCCCAGAAGAGAGGAGCATTCTACAGTGTTGTTTACTATAAGCAAATCACTCCCAAATGCTTTTCTCTAGGTTGCTCACTGAAGGAGGGAGTGCACTCTTAAAGGGTAGGGAAAGAAAAACTACTTCCCCTTGAGTTCTTTTTTCTAAATCTTTCTCCAAGTGCTTCATTACTATTTTAGAAAATGGTCTCTTTCTGCAATGACTTTAGAATTCTTTCTAGACCCTCAAAAAAAAAAAAAAGACTTTACAGAACAGTACTTACATTACTACCTCAAAATTAACAGAGGCTTAAATTTGAGCTATGATTTAACTGAACACAACTTTTGCTCTATGAATGCTTTTCTGCTTTTGAAGCTCACTTTAAACAAGCAGCCTCCCAGTGCCCAGTTCTCATTGTTGTAGAGGAGATGTTACACAGCCTGTACCAGAGTCTGGCTGGATGGAAGTCTCTTCAGTACTCCGGAGTCTGCCTAACTTCTATATTACTGTCCAATAAGAATCCAACTATATAATGTCTGATTAAAAGGAATCAGGCATATTTCTTTTCTAATTTCCAGATTCCCTAACACTTACTGTTATAAAAATACTTCATCAGATCAACAGCAAACTTGGTGTTGATAGACAGCCATGAAGCCCATAGGCCTTTGTGATGGAACATCTCACCTACTCCAGACACTGGGAATTTTTTGAAAAGACTTCAAAGTTCTATCAGATAAAAAAGAAAGATAAGAAGAAGACACATAGAATAGAACAATAAAATACGGAGGAGAGGGGCGGTGTAGACATAATTTTCAAGCAGTTATCACAAGCCAGTTACCTGCTAGGTATTTGATATGCTCCTACTCATGGGGTATCATTTTACCTATTTTATTTTTTATTTTTTGGTACCAGGGATCAGACTTTGCAAGGCAGGCGGCAGCACCACTGAACTAAATCCCCAGCCCTATTCTACCTGTTTTATAGATGAGGAAGCTGAAATTTAGTGAAAGATATTAGGTAAATTACAAAATCATACAACAAACATATAAGGTGAGATTCAAACCCTGACAGTAGCTCAGAGGCTGTGATCTCACAAGCAAGAATAGAATGCTGCATAAAAGAGAGAAAAGTGGTTAAAAATATATAGGAAGGAAAGAGCAGTAATGCTCACTTTCTCATCTTGTGTTACCTGCAACTGCAGGGCTGTCAGAATCTTGTTTTCACTGCCTCTAAATCTCCATCAATCTGCCTTTGTAACATTTTTTTACCCATTCATGCTGGCATGATCTCCTCATACCTCTTTCAGCCTGCTAATTTGGGGGATTGTGCACATGTCTGCAAGACAATGCCTCTAAGAAGGGCCAGGGCATGCATCCTACCACAGGAACACATAGTCCTGCTGTTTGCACAGCTGTATTTGTTGCTCTTAATGGTAGAGAAGGGAGGCTCAAAAGACACTTGGTTTTAGAAAACTTTTCATGGTCGAGCTAGAAGTTAAACTAAGGCCAGAGGTTTCTCACTGCTTTTTCTAGAGGCCAAGATTCTTTTATTTTTGAATTCTCTCTCTTGTCAGTGAGGAAGCATTATAGTAATTACTATATAAATGTTACCATTTATTTTTGAGATTTGCCTGAGGGAAATTTCTTCCTAAAGAAATTATTTCTCTCTCTTTCTAGAAAATATTTAAGTTCTCTTTCTAAATGGAGTATTTGTGACTTTTCTTTCACCAGAACTGGTTCATTGTATTCAGTGACCACATTGCTTACCAGTGCTGAAACATCCTCTTCCGTCTGCCTCCCCCAACAACCCTGGGTCTGTTTTTTCAATTTAAAGCAACTGTTCATGGAATGCCTGCCATGAAGGAAAATATTGTAAGTCAATACACTTTGGGCTAAGTCCAACTCTCAGATAATGAAGTCAGTAGTACTTGTGTGAGAAGGAATTTGCCCCGTGATAGTAATAAATCTGTTATTTGTGTATCATAAACGTAAATGGCTAAATGTATTCCAGTGACTTGCTTGAAATTAGTTAAATGGGTTTCCCTCTGCATCCATAACTAATGTAATGACTATTCATAGACCTGCTTTTGCTTAGATACTAATTAGTAGTGAGTAGATTTTATTTAAGGACTGAAATGGGGAAGAAATATATATTTGTAGTAAATACAGTATAGGACTTTAGTCAATAATTCTTCATGTTGGTTGAACATTTGTCTTTAGGGACAAAAGTGATGTTACCTTACATTAGGTAATTTAAGGGACAGGGTGAATGCTTAATAGTGAAAATACTAGACCATGGAATAAAGGAATGTTAAAATAGCAATATCTACCCTCATGAAATGCTGAAAGATTCTTTCAAGGTAGGTGCCCTGTTTATGTGCTGTCTCCAAACTAATGGATCCCAAATCAGATTCTGCAAAGTATAAACCACATTAAAAATTATATTTGGGCCAAAAGTCCCTTTTCCTTTCTGCAGGAATTACAGTTTTGATCAAATCAGTGCTGAACAATATTACTTTTTCTTCCTAGCTATGTTGTGTCTAGAAATAGTTTGTGACAGAAAGTCTTTTTATAGCTTTGCTTTCAACATACATTTACATTTTAATGATACATTTTCTGCCTGTAAAAATGTAATTGTAGCACACAGAAAATCAACACACTTTAAACTTTCTGAGTATATTTAAGCTGTCAACAGTGTGCTGTCTGACATACAACATTACTCTACTTCCACCTTTAATGGCTAGGTTGTTTTCTAAAGACAGTCTAATGACACAAGATTCCTAAATCCTGTTGGATCATTTAAACTAAGAATGACCTGAGGATAGGGATGTTTTGGCCATCTGTCATTGATAGCCATATTGATCTAGAGATGGTGGCTGAGAGCACTGTGTACTGAGGGTACAAGCAGTTTGCTAAGACCTTGATAATAATCACTGATACCTTTGTGATGAGCTTGATTTCTCATTGTGTCTGCCCAAACTATGGAAACTTTGAGCAGTAAAGTCACCTGATTTAAAAAGTACACTTCTAGGTCAAAAGGGCATACCAACTCTCATATATTCTTCTTCTAAGTCAACCATTAGCATAAAGTATAAAAAAAGCCTTGAAAAAAGTTTTTTTTTTTTTTTTTTTTTTTTTTTTTTTTTTTTTTTTTTTTTGGTACTGGGGATTGAACTTGGGTCCTTGCGCTTGCAAAGCAAGCCACTGAACCGCTGAGCTAAATCCCCGGCCCGAAAAAAGTTTTTATTTCAAAAAATTTTGAGATAGGAAACTATACTCACTACCTAGATTCACCAATTATATTTTGCCTTAGGTACCTATCTGAACCATTTCAAACAAATTTGCATATATGATGTTTATCCCTAAATACTTTAGTAAACATTTCTAATTAGAGCATTTTCCTATCTAATAATTATACCATTATTAGAATTAAGAATAATTAAGAATTGACTAAGAGAAAATTGAGAATAATTCCTAAATGTCATTAATAACCTATCCAGAGCTGTGTGGCGGTGGTTTCTTCCCCAGACTTAGAGTAAGGCCTTGCTTCTCTAGCCTCCATGGGAAATTTAAACCTTCACGATGTGTGGATAATACTCTTTCGTTCTTCAATGACTCTGGGGACATGATGCAAATTTTCATACACTGGGGTGAAGAGGTTTATGCCACGTTGTTCAGAACTACAGAAGGGTCGTCAGTGTCGATGGAAATAGCAAAAATTAACATGCAAGAAACAAAAATTAAGCCTGGTTCGTGGAGTATGCAGTGGACAGTGAAGTAGGCACCACACTCCTGGAACACCTCGATTAAAACAAAGTGTTGCAGGCAAGATGAGCAGCTCATCCAAAATAGATGGGCAATCTCAGTCTTGGAGCACCAGAGAAAACAACTGATCAGAACAATTATGTCACCTTGGCTAAAGTAGTGCAATCAAGAATAACAATAGCATCCATCACAACTTAGAAAATGACAAACTGTGATAACTATTGATTTGCTGCCTTTAACCATATGAATTGTATTTGTGGTTATATAACAAAATTAAAACAAATCAGAAAATTGTGTACAGTAAATATGCCCTCAATATGGTGATTTTACCCTCAGGGGAGAAAATTTAAAAGAGATAGGGGAAAAATAGAAATTAAAAAAAAAGATTAGAAGCAAGGCTGGAGGACAAAGGAAGACTGCAAACCTTGGGAAATTGATGAAGACAGAAAGCAAAGAGAGAAGGAAGAAATAAATATAAGTGAGCAGAACAACAGACACTAGAGATAATGTTCACACATGTAGAAACAAGAACATAAGAAGAAAAAAATGTCTATTTCAAGGTGTGTTTCTACTGTCACTGGTAGGTAAATTGGGCAGATGGAGCCCAGATCCATGTTGATTAATTCCAGAAAGCCAGCTGTAGATTTATAGCAGGGTAGTGGATAATCCTGCCAGGCCTGCACTTTTAGTTTTACTGAAGTTCAGGATTGTTTCTTACTGCCCTTGAGGCTGGAGCCTTATTTGTTCAGCCTGATTTGTCATGTGCCTCCTGCCTGGTTGAACGCAGCTCCTTGACCTCTTGTCAACTTGAACTTGGTTGTTGAACGCAGCTCCTTGACCTCCTGTCAACTTGAACTTGGTTGTGCTTCGCCCTGATACTTGGAGCCACTAGATGGAACCAGCCCACAGCTGCTCTGAGTTCCAAGGTGTTCACAGGAGACAGTGGGGACATAACAGGAGTCTGAAAAGAACCCCCTAGAAGGCCCAGATACCCAGAACAGCTGATGCTGAGGTGGACAGGCACAAAATCCTACCTGTTTCCTGGACCACTCTGCCACAAGCAAAAGCCTTAAGTCATTGATGGAGGGTCTACAAATAGTCTCCCAGAACACAGATGTTGCTTTTGGGGGAGAAGCAGAAGCCAAATCCCTCTGCCTCTGAGAGAGGAATAGTGAACCCACTCAATCCCACGACAAAGACGAAGACCCTTTATTTCTTGGAGGTTGGGGGTAGAAGCAAAATACCTTCATAATTTGGTACTATTACTACCACTACTGGGGAAGGAGCAGAAAACCGTGTTGAAGACTGACCACTAATGAATGAGGAAGAGACTGGGAATACTAAGAAAGACTCACCTCTAAGGGAGGCTCAGGCACAGAGGTACACTGCCAAACACTGAGGCTGGGATAGGACCACAAAGATTATGGACAGTGGCAAGCAGAATTACATGCTCTATCATTTCCAGGAGACATTACTGAGAGCCCACCTAGCTTGCTAGGCCAACTTCTGTGACTTCTGTTGGCTTCATGCTTTGGGAGAACCTAAAGCCACACGATGGAGGCAGTGACCTTGGAGGATGTGGCTGTGAACTTCACCACATAAGAGTGGGTTCTGCTAAATCCATACCAAAAGAAGCTCTACAGAGATGTGATGAGGGAAACTTTCAGGAACATGGCTGCTATAGGAAGAGCCCGGGATAACCAGGAAATTGAAGAAGAGTGCAAAAATTACTGGAGAAATCTAAGAAATGAAGAGGTAGAGAAATGCTATCAAAATAAAGTTTGGAATCAATATGAAGAAGTACTCCTTTGGACTCCAGATGCTGATGAGGAGATGAAGCAAGCTGGTTTAAAACCATCTGAAAGCCTTGCTTGCAGAAAGCCTCTGATTGGGCATTTGTCACTAAATGTGCCTATTATAGCTCACACTGGACTGAAGACATCTGAGTACTTGGGATCGGAAGAGAAGCTGTGTGTAAATTTAGTGAACATGGAAGGACCTGTGATTTTCAGTCCTTTCAGAAGCATGCAAGGACAAAGAACGTGGAGAAACTCTATAAATATGATCAATGTGGAAAATCCTACTCTGATCTTAGTGAAAGAACTCACCTTAGAGAGACCTTTATATATAAGAAAAATTTGAAAGACTCCAGCACACCCAGTGATGTTCAAATCCATGAAAGAAATCACAATGGGGAGAAACCCTATGTATGTAAGCAGTGTGGAAAAGCTTTCAGTAGGCGTCAACATTGTAAACAACATGAAAGAATTCACACAGGGGAGAAGCCCTATGTATGTAAGCAGTGTGGGAAAGCTTTTAGTACACAAGATTATTGTAAAATACATGAAAGAATTCACACTGGGGAGAAACCCTATGTAATGCAAGCAGTGTGGGAAAGCTTTTAGTACACAAGATTATTGTAAGGTACATGAAAGAATTCACACTGGGGAAAAACCCTATGCCTGTAAGAGGTGTGGGAAAGCTTTTAGCACACAACGTTACTGTAAAATACATGAAAATATTCACCCAGGGGAGAAGCCCTATGTGTGCAAGCAATGTGGGAAAGCTTTTAGTACACAACGTTACTGTAAAATACATGAAAATATTCACACGGGAGAAACCTTATATATGTAAGCAATGTGGAAAAGCCTTTAGTACACAAGATTACTGTAAAATACATGAAAGAATTCACACGGGGAGAAACCCTATGTGTGTAAGCAGTGTGGGAAGGCTTTTAGTACACAAGATAATTGTAAACAGCATGAAATAATTCATACAGGGGAGAAACCCTATATATGTAAGCAATGTGGGAAAGCTTTTAGTACACGACGTTACTGTGAAACACATGAAAAAATTCACACAGGGTAGAAACCCTATGTATGTAGACAATGAGGAAAAGCTTTTAGTACACAACGCTATTGTAAAATACATGAAAGAACTCACACTCAGCATTAATTCTATGCCTGTAAGAAATGCAGGAAACCTTTCAGCATTTGTGGTGTTTGCCAAAGACACTCACAATGGGGAGAAACCATATGTATATAAGCAATGTGAGACTGCTTTCAGTACACGTGTATTGTCAAATACATAACAGAAAT